AATCCTATACATTTTTTTCATGCTTTAAACATATTATAATATTCATCATGATTTTTCCTTACTGTGTGATGGTTATGTTCTGCATATGTGTTTTATAGGAACAATATTTGTTCTGCTACAAGGCGATAGCCGATGAACTGCAGGACCTCGTATCCAAAAGCCATTCTCATAGTGGTTCGAGTTGATATGTTTCGATCTTCGGGTTTTCTGAGTCATCGTCGTAAAGCTCGTGTTTGATAAAACAAGTCCTATGCACTTAAAGTTTTTAATAAATTATATGTGTTATAACGAAACATGCATTGTTCATCTCATATCTTGTTCAACAATGTATCCAAAACTCCCATTTGTGCTTTGATTTGTCGATGAAATATGAGTTTCGATTGTTGAAGGTCGAATGCACCTTAAAATTTCTTAGCTCAAGCAATTGATATGACCTTTTTTCGTCGTTTTATGGAGATTTAGAGCTCTGATCGACTATTGAGGTAGCATTGAATCGATAATTCAAGCTTATAAAACATCATAACCTTTTCTTGTCTTTAGGGAGATTTAAAGCTCCGATCGACCATTGAGGTTGAGTTGAATCTATGATTCAATTTTACAAAACATCATAAACTTTTTTTGTCGTTTTATGGAGATATAAAGCTGCAACAGACGATCGAGAGATACCGTTGGATTCATGAGATGACGAGCTTTCTAAAATACCACGTTTTACAAAAATTCCAATTGCTAGATCTCTACTCAATTATTGCTAACATCCTAGATGTGCCATATTTCCTTTTTTTTCCCCACCTTAAGAATTTCAACTTGAAAAATTATATTAGTAATATATAATATAGAAAGCGACAACATCTTTAAAAAATGATGACCATAAGCACACCTCTGTGTTTGTTTAAAATAAAAGATGGAAAAAGAGAGAAAAAATATGTATTTGCAACGTAGATATAATTTAATGTCACTTGATAAAATAAAATAAAAAATATAGAAAAAAGATATGTATGTACAATGACATGCTTTTAAAAATATATATAAAAAAGAAAAACTATGACATTTTTTGATATAAATATGTATTTTTATTCAACAAATATGATGGTTCTAACAATTAGGCTTCCTCACACAATAATTCATATAAAAAAAATTAGACAGGATCAAAATACTCAAGACTCAAATGGCCAGTATAACCTAAAATTTTAGGTGCTGATCAAGTACATTCAAGCAAATATGGAGCACCCAAAAATGCAATTTTCCTCACTCAAAATTTCCATTTTCAATATTTTGACCAACAACAGCAATCCATAAAAGTCACGGCGGTAAAAAAAAATTGTGAAAAATGGTCATCACTTCAAGCAGTAAAGCACCACACATTTGACTTCAAAATAATTACCACTAGAATTTACCAGGCAAAGAGTTTACACCTTGGGGGGTTTTTGACCAGAAAAAAACAGAGAGAAGGTGACTAGGTGAGGGTGGCTTGTCTACTCTACTCTACTGCTCCTGAAAATCTTCATTTTTGAGCCCCATTTTGGCTTTCACTGTAGTAATTAAAGAGTCAGCAAAAATCAGCAAGAACACGAGTACCAAAAAAAAAAAAAAAAAAAAAAAATAGTGAACTTTGAATTTGAGACAAAGAAAAAAAAAAGTTGTTGGTCCCCTGTTGAATCTTGATTGTTATCTGCGAGGACCCTTTTGATGGACCGAGTTTTCTAAGCCCTCAATCGAAATTTGATTCTATGATTTCGACTCTTGCTGATGATGAGGCATTTATGATTGTAATAAGCTCGATCCCTTCTTCCCCCTTTTTTTTCAGTCATCATTGTTGTCATCTCTTTTTTCTTTTTCTGGGTTTTGTGGGCTTTTGTATTGATTAGAAGATCCAAGTCATCACCTTTATCTTCATTACTTGCTTGCTATGGTTTATGCAGTACAAATTGCAGGTGGGGAAATTGCATTCTTTTGCTTTTTGTTCTTTCTTTCCTTTTTGCTTTTATTTTGATTTTGGGCGTTTGATTACATGAACCTCTTGGGCTTGTAGCTTTAGGTATTATTATTATTGTATATGCTTTTCTTTTTTTGTATATGTAAATGCTAATGATTGTTGTCATGTGTTTGACTTGCCTTTTAATCTTTATCATTGTAAATTTCATGGGCATCATTCTTTTTTCCCTGTCAAGAATTTTATTCTGTATCTTTGCTTTTAAGTTGTGCATTGACTGCATTCTTTAGCTTTATTTGTTTACAACAGTTGTTCCTCAAAATTGTGATTTTTATCCTTGGTGCTCATTGCAGACCTAAATGATTTCGATCTCATTTTGTGGTGAACACCTTTTACGCAATAAAAACCGTCATTGGAGTAAAAAAAGTCACAATGGGTGGGCTTTGCTCGAGAAGGTCAACTGATGACACGGTATTATCCACTGCACTTCCACATGTCAACGGGCGATTGAGTTACGGCTCTGGAATCATTTATCAGTCGCGTGGATTGGGCGTGAAAGAAGATAATAATACACCCACTGATGTAGAAGTTAAGGATAGGGAATTAAGAGAGCCTTTCTCCTTTCCAGAATTGAGTTCGGTACCTCCCGGCTCGAATTTCGACGATTTCAATGATGGCATTCCTCGTCTGTCGAGGGTTTCATCAGATAAATCGAGGTCCACGAGATCAAAGCAAGTCGCGATGGCTAAGGTGTGTCGTTAATGCATTCTGTTTATTGGTCTATCATGTTTAATCTGCCAATTATTTTCCCTTATGCTTGTGAAATTATATGGAATTACCTAAATTTTCAGGTTCCAAAATCTTGTGAGAAGCTTAATTTTTCCATCTATGAATTAAAAGGGTCTGTTGCTGCTGTTGTTTTCTTTTTCTTTTGTAATTTCCTGTATTATATTAAGTGACATGGATAATACGGAAGTATTTGTTGAATTAGGTCCCGTTTAGCTGTCTATAAGTTCCTTCTATATTTTGATGTTTAATATCACATATCAATTTTCATGCACAATTTTTGTGATCTGAACAATATAGAACTTCTATAATTACTCTCGACTCTCGTGTAACGAAAATTTATATATAGCATGGATGGATTATCTATGCATTTCTTCTTGGATAATAGTTATGGAGTATATGAGTAACTAAATATATCTTGCTTTTATATCACAGGTCTCAGAAGTGAGTTCACTTTTGGGCCGAGCAGGCACTGTTGGCCTCGGCAAAGCAGTTGATGTTCTCGACACGCTTGGCAGCAGCATGACTAATTTGAACCTTAGTGGTGGTTTTGCATCCGGGATAGCCACTAAGGGGATTCCAATCTCGATTTTGGCCTTTGAGGTGGCAAATACAGTCGTTAAGGGTGCTAATCTAATGCACTCTCTTTCGCATGAGAACATTCGGCACTTGAAAGAAGTTGTGCTGCCTTCTGAAGGCGTTCAACGGTTAATATCGACGAACATGGATGAGCTCCTTAGCATTGCTGAATCTGACAAGAGGTGTTATATACTACTTTTCGAAGGGTTAATTTGTAGAAGCTTCCCTTGAGGTTTAACCTTATTTACAGAAAGAAAAGAAAATAATTAACCTGGTTTTCGTTTTGTCAGGGATGAGTTGAAAGTCTTTTGTGGTGAAGTCATTCGTTTTGGGAATCGCTGTAAGGATCCACAGTGGCACAACTTGGATCGTTTTTTTGAGAAGTAAATACTGAAAACCCTTTTTTTTTTTTTTGCCTTTTGCATTTCTTGTGGTACTTCCATCTCGTATAGTGGATTAAAGTATAAATGTATAATGCATAGATCACTTTTATTAAAATTTAGATTGGAAATGGAGCCCACACCTCACAAACAGTTGAAAGAAGCAGCAGAAGCCGATATGCAACAGTTGATGATGTTGGTTCAGTACACAGCTGTAAGTTGTCTCGTGATATGCTGTACAATTTATTTTTTATTTTTTGTGCATTTGGGCTTTGAAAAGTGTGTTTAATATGTTTAGGTTGCAGGAACTGTACCATGAAATGCATGCACTGGACAGATTTGAACAAGATTGCCGGCGCAAGGCTCAAGAAGAGGAGAACTCGAGTTCTGCACAGAGAGGTAATTTTTTTTATTATTAAATGTCCGGAATTTATCTAATTTCCTTTTGTCGAAACTATTGACCACTATGTTCACATGCCAAAACTTTTTGGAATATTGGTAACTTCGTATAATATGATGAAGTTTTCCATTTCAAAACCAAAGTTTTATTGAATATCATTTTAATGTTTTGTTTTTCTATTTCCCTAAAATTTTGTACAGCTTTTATTAAGCTTATACATTGCCCCCTCTATTTTATGTTAATTTTGTCAGCTTGTTTGTCAGTGTGAAACTGTTCGCCTGTATTCCTTGATTACTTCTGTACCTAATTGTTCTTTGTTGATCCTCAGAAGGAGACAGCCTCGCAATTTTACGTGCAGAGCTAAAGAGCCAGAAGAAACATGTAAAGAGTTTGAAAAAGAAGTCACTGTGGTCTAAGATTTTGGAGGAGGTACTTAGTTTCATGCTTTTTTCGTATGTGATTTAGGTATGTATATCTTGTAAAAAGGTAAAATCAATCATAATCCCATGTATTTTATATATTAGATTATGGGATTACAGAAATATCTTGAGGGCTCCAGCTAATTTTGAAACTTATAAAGACCCTCTTGATATTTTTTCCTATTTATAAATAGCACCCTGAACAAAGAGATACTTGTTAAGAAAATGCAAACCTTTGTCAACCCTTTTTAGTGTTTTCGTAACTTTTAAAGATAAAGTTGTGTCTTCGTATAAATATCGTGACGAATTTAGCCAAATTTTGAATGTAGTTTTTGTGATTGCCCATGTACTATTGATTCTGTCTATGATTTTGAATTTTGTTAAGGTGATGGAGAAGCTTGTGGACATAGTTCATTTTCTACATTTGGAGATTCATTCGGCATTCGGTAGCAGTGGTAAGAATCCATGTACTTCAAACTTATTAACTGCTTTGAACATTTCTTTTTTCCCTTGCCACACCGAATTTTCATCGAGGTTCCGAAAAAAAAAAATCCCGTTAAGTAGAATCTTCATTGTGTATGATATTTCATTTGTTGAGCATCCTACTTGTGATGCTAAGTACTAGCTCCTATTTTTAATAAGTGTCGTTTTGGCTTTATCAACAATTAACCAAATAAATGACGTTTTAGATCTTTTATATATATTTTTCCATTATTACCCTCATCCTCATCTAGCTAATAAATACACTACGTCTTTTCATATTCACTCTTCATCTGTCCTCAAAACATCCATCTCTATTCTCATGAGGGTTATTATTGGCCAAAAAAAGATTCTTCACTACTGTGCAACTTTTCAAAACGACACTTATTAAAAATAAGAGGGAGTATTTGTTAGTATATATACTTTTCTTTCTATTTTTGAAAAAAAAAAGATATCTGTATACAATTTTGTTTATTGTTCCATAAGTGTTCAAATGCCATTTTATTTTGTTGCTAATTGGATATTACAATAGTCTCTTTATGATAAGAGTTTTTTCTTCTTCAATGCTTCGGAATTATTATTTCAAAAGATGGAAACACGCCTGCAAAAGAACATCACCAGAGGTTGGGATCTGCCGGGCTTTCACTGCACTATGCAAATATTATCAACCAAATCGATACACTTGTGAGTTCGTTATCCACTTATCGCGAAGTATCTTTGGATTATTTCACTTATTTATTTATTTATTCTCTTTCTAAAATGTTCCTTTAATATGTGCGGCACCTTAGTAGCTTCGATTTTTTCATTCTTTCTAAAGTTGATCCGAATCCAAAAGGAGTTGACATTGCTTTAGTAAAAGTGTGCATATTCTTATA